CGGTAGAGGAGGCACACAAACGGACGTACGCATCGCGGCATCGAGACATCGGGCACACACACGGGCTATGGACAGGACGGTCGAGAGTGTGAGAGAGACAGGTGTGTCAAGTCCCACACCATACATACGATCGTCGTTGCCCTTGCGTACCTCTCTCCTAGAGAACATTGAGCTATAAGCTCTTTCCAAGCTAATTATTGTTTTGATGAGTCCGAGCAATTACTGGTTAATCTCGTAAACAAATCAGAAAAACGCTCACTCATGTCATCTTTGCGCTAACAAACAACGCGAGAAATACAAAGATTTCCAAAGTCGATACCCAAATGACATCGCGGCTACAGTAGTACGTATATCAGATATGTACCAGGTATAGAGCACATCTGAAAGACGAATTTTGATTAAGAGCGACACTAGAACATCTTCTATGTCACCACTTACATGAGTTATACCTGAGAACTACTATATAGTGTAAGTTTATTTTTCGGTCCATATATCTTACGACGAAGGTGTTAACAAATATGTCACAAGATTAAAACTTACGCGTCTTCGTCTGCGGATACGAACATGTTTATTCCGTGTATATTGGATAAACTTAACCGCTGTAGTGTTTTTCTTATGTAACAGAGGAGGTAAGACCACATCTTCACGCCAATAAAGACAGGGCGGTGAGTAAAACAACAAACACGAGACCACATTGGAAATTAACTCAAACAAGGGAAACCTCTACGCGCAGACCTACGTCTGGCTCCGTCCCCCGCCTAAAGGGATAATTCCCCTCCTAGGATGACTAGCAATATCCTAGGAAGGGGAGCTCCAAGGTGTGGTTAAATGTTACCCGTCTTGAGGTGGACAATGCTCCTTGCCAAGAGTGTTTAGCATGTAAGGGCGGTAACACGAGCAAAAGTGCACCACATTCAGACGGAGGAATGCACCGGGTTCGACTGTCTTTCTAGTAGCTCTGTAGCCCCGTCCACGAGCAACGTTTCCACCTCAGGTGTTATGTATGCTAGCAGCAACACACGGAGTTAACTCAATTATACAAACATGGGTTTAATGATTAGAGGTAACAGAGTTACTCTTTATTTTGTTAAAGTTTCAGCTATTCTGTTTATAGTTCTGTCATCAGATTATTTAATACGATTTGTTAAAACATTGTTGTTTCTTTTGATGTGAAATATTATTTATTTTATTTAAATAAAAAGCAATGTTAATTTTGTTCACAATTTGTTAAGTTAATTTAATAATATATGTATTTTTCAATCAAGTATTCAACTTTATTGTCTTCATTGTTAGTTTCCACATGCCTAAAACAACCTCAAGCTAAATCTAAAAGTTGATGGCTAAATAAGAGCGTTTGAGAAATTGTGCAAGGCAGTAATAGTCCGAATAGTCCATTAATCGTTTCATTAATCGATAGATTCATCAATTATCAAATTAGTCGTTTGTTGCAGGCAGCCCTATTGTAGTTATCCCATGTATAAAAAAAGGTGTTATTCAGCAACCCTTGCAATTTGGGATTTTATTTTTGGTTGGTAGACCTCGGTGAGCTGGTCATTTCAAAAGTAGCTCACCAGCCAAAAAAGTGTGGGCACCCCTGCACTACACTCTTCTACTTCACTTTCACTCCCACCTCTGCTTAATTACTTCTAGATGGCGCTGTGTAGTTAATATGGATCTACAGAGATTAAAAAGTGATGAATGATGATAAGTATCTCCATAAAAGTCTTCCTCCGAGCTCATGGTGCCCTCATAAGGAGCACAAAATGATTGCTTAGCAGTTCCCTGTCATATATTAATGATGAATGATGATGATGATGATGATGAATGCTTCATTGCTGTTTATGATTGATGGATGACGGGTTGTGAGGAACATATGAGCCAGAGATAGTATTGATCTGGTTAGCCTATTGACTTTCCTTTTTCTATATCATAGCAGCTATACCATAAACAGTACCACAGCTTTTCTTGCATTCTATAAATCTGCCTCTTTCACCGACTCATATCCAGCCTCATAACATCTGAAATGAATGTCTACAATAGGAATGACATCGACATCCTTCACATGCAGCACAGCAGAGCTAAATTCCAATTGCCTACTTCCACATTTCCAATAACACAGTGTACGGTTTACAGTGTATTTCATGTTGGACAGGTTTGCCTGATCATCTGTTTTGTTCCCCACGTGCAGGTTGGTTATAGCGAGCCGATTTAACCCGTGTCCAGTCCTCATGGCCCTGCTCAAGTTCCTCTCCCCCTCCAGGCCTTTTGTGGTCTACTCCCAATACAAAGAGGTAAGATCATCACGGCTCGGGTATTTACCGGAGCCACAAAAACAAGTTTGATGTCCCCCCTGAAGAAGGATAATTAGTTATCTTAGAAAGAGCTCTCATTAGCTGCACACAGGATTTGTATTGCTTAGAGCTCCAGCGGGAAACATCCTTATTACATTACTGCCTCCTGTCACTGCCAACAAGTTACTACCAAGTCCTTGCCATTATTACCTGTGATCCCCCTGTGTATGTTTGTTGAATGCTCTTAATTCTCCTTCGTCTCTTCTCGATCATATCTCTGCAGTGTCTTATCGAGTGCTACACAAAACTCAAGGAACAAGGCGGTACGGTCAACCTGAAGCTCACAGACTACTGGCTGAGACATTATCAGGTACATTTTAAACTCTAAGTCTACACCGAGTTAGGTTTGAGCTATATTGTTAAAGCTGGTCTACTCAAGATTTGAATATAAGCAATGGATGAGACGACGGTTCACGGTTGAAACTGTGCAGTTCACCTTAGCTCAGCTAATAGTTGTAGATAAAATAGGTGGCTGTTTTCAAATAAAAAAGCTTGAGATGAAAGAAAGGGTGAATGTTGGACCTACATTTGGCTTATGGACATAAACACTTGTCCTTATGAATGTTAATGTGGTCCTATGCTTGGTTTTGTATCAGGCAGCCCTTTGCTATTCTTTTGCATACAAACTTTTATAAGGGGTTTTATATAACTATCCATCCTTGTAGGTTTAATACTAAAATCTCTTTTGCATGTTTGCATGGCTTTTAGTCAATAAAAAGATGATCAGAATTGTCAATCCACTACTTGATTCAGCCATAAATAAGTACCTAAATGAATGCTGAAGAAAGAATGAAATTCCTCTCCTCTCTGTTTAACTGTGTTGCTGCTGTTCCATCCTTGCTGCATCAATAATCTGCTATAAGCACCTCCTGATCCATTATTGCAGAGACTCCATTCGCTCTCACTGCCCACTCCTTTATGTCTGTGTACGATGCAGCAACTGGATGTGAACACTGTTTGCATACTCTATGTCCTCCCTCAGGACTGAAGTTATTTCCCACCAGCCCTTCCTGTAGAATCAATGTCTGCTGACTGTATATATACACGTGTTGTGCCCCTAGGTGTTGCCTAACAGGACACATCCTGTGCTGCTGATGAGCGGGGGTGGGGGCTACCTCCTCTCAGGAACAACGGTCGTCGGGGGGGGCTCCAAACCTGCAGCCTCGCGGCGAGATGAGGAACCAGCGCCAAAGAGACAGAAAGTGACAGAGACCGAAGGATAAACAAACAAAGGGCAAATGACCAACAGCCTGCAGGGAATTCTCCCCCAGCATTGACTTCTCTTTCTGCTGAACTGATTTGACACATGTGGAATAAGGAAGACAGAGTGTCTGGTCTGCATTCATCAGAGCACTTTCTCCTTGTGAATTCAGATCAGTGCAGAGGAAGGCGCAATGCTGAGCTGTAAACTATGAGCCTGCTAAGGGCTGTACGAGGTCAGAGTATGTGTTATGTGAGGAACTGCTGAAATCATCTTTTATTATGTCTGATACCTCTAGACCAAGTTTATAACGTTTTTGATTTTTAAAGTTTTGCAGCTCTAGTTTTTTTTAATTTAGTTTTCTGTGCAGAAAGTGCCATTTGTTATATGATGCAGCTTCACTGTGGGATACATCTGTATCTGCACGGAATAAAGAAAGCCCTACTAATGAGCCCGATGTGTGAACACTTTTTTTAAAATGATTCGAGAGATATTTGTTTGGTCCCAGAATAACTACTTTTATTGAGTGCAGACTGAACAAACTCATTAGAACACAATTTGAGTAATTTTTCTCAGATATATTCGAATCTCTAAGTTTTCTTATTACATGTATATAAACATCAAACCCATTCCCATGCTGATCATTTTCAGTACATTTCAATACATCAAAATATCACAAATACTATGATAAACAAGTTGGTCAAATGCTTTTGGCAAGGCTCCAGACTTTATGGATGTTTTTGTCTTTTAAACACTAAATTAGCTAACATACAGTAAGCTAGCAGCTCTTCCATCTTGGTTTATTCGCTGTCGTCATGCAACTTGGCAGCGATTTCCTGCAGCTCCGTGTCCATTGCTGCTAGGTTGTCCAGCTCCTTCTGAAAAACATCAACATGGACATATTATAGAACAGTTTTCCCCACCATTTACAGAATAGAAATCAGGGCTTTGTTTACCCAAGCCTGCTCAAGTACCTGCATAATGAGTCAATTTAGGCTGAGCATTCCCTCCCTATCCCGAGTCGTGATGCTGTAGTGCTGATATTACTACACCTCCTTTCCTGCTTCAAAGTGAGAAGAAAGGCAGCAGGTTTCTACAGGCTGTAGCTCTTTTTAATGGACATAATTATCCCTTTGATTTCTCTCGGAGGCTATCATTATGAGGTTCTTCGTGGGATTACTGTAGCAGTCATAAAAAGCTAGATGTGGAAAGTGCAAGTACAAAAGTGTTGAAGAGAAGTGCCGTGAAGAAGTGATTTTAGAGTTAAGTATTGCATAGTGGAGAAACGACTCACCGCCCATGAATATTCTGGATGCATTACTCTTCTTTTTGTGACATGCTCATGAGGGGCAGTTCTTGATGTGCACTTGCACAGATGCATAATCACTGACGCTCTGTGGTTCTGAAGGCTAAACCCTGACATCTCCATGAAGAGTAGACATTTCCATAATGAGCATTGCTGCTTTTTCCTCCCAGTGAAACATTGGTGGAGGCAATTGATGTGCTTCACTGGGTCAGCTCAAAGTATATAGGGGGTAGAGTGTTATGGAAAACCCACAGAGTAAAGTGTTTTTTAAATGATGGATCTCAGTTGGCTTTTCATGTGCAAAAAGTTATATTCTCAAAGATCTATCGGGGCGGATTATTGGAATTTAAGTGTTTATGATTTGCTTGCATTTTAATACCTGAATCCTGGCTTCTACCTAGTTTCATAAACAACAATATTATAAGATTGCATTTTCACTTGAGTTAAGTGGTGTAGTTAGCAGTTTAACAAAGTAAACATGACGGCTAATAAATCATCATAAAGATCATTTGTTCTCGCGGTTATTTGAAACATTTCTTACCTCCCGCGGGGTGGGTACTCTCTGGTGCATGCTCTTCTTTGGCTCCTCTTGGTTTGATTGGTTGGCCAGCTGGTCTATCTTATAGCCCAGCAACTTGGCCAGTTCGTCCATCTGAACACAAAAAAGTAGAATCAGATAATATCTAAACTGCAAAATGTAGGCCAAAATAAGGATTTTTTAATCAAAACCTTCCTGGTAATTGACAATGTACTTCATAATGGAGGAGAAAACAGAGTTGATTTAAAGATCAAATGTTCTCAATCTGCATGTTCACGCTGTTTCTAAACTACAAAAATGTGCTACTTCTGTTTCAGACTGTATACCTACCTTGTTTGAGTTTGCTGCAGGATGGTAGAAACCTCTGTAAATCCAGGGATTGCGCTTCTCTGCCAGATACCTGAAAAATAGCCCAAATTAGATGCTGTTCCACCGACCGTTGTACCGCCAGCGCGTGTACACTGATAAATGAGCTTATCCAATTCAAATGAGACAAAGCACCCAAGGTAAAAACCTTGATTTTCAATGCAATGGTCAATTATGAAAGAAATGTTAGGCTATTCTGCGTCCATGACATGTCTTCTATCTGAATAATAGAAAGAAAACATCCCCAAAACAACTTTAGATGATTGTTGTACTCTTCACATCTGTAGATATCTCATACACTCACAGTTCGCATTATAAAGCCTCATTTACATATTCTAACAAAACATATCAGAAAATGTGTAATCCAAATAAATGATTGTCCTAATATTAGTAGGGAACTAGGGAAGTTTCATGGTGATATGAATTAATAAAATGTCTTAGCATATTCATCCTAAGTCTGCAGAATTTAGGACAAAGGTGGTTTCTCAATATTTTTGTTCCTGCTTTTTGAGCCAGAAATATCAACAAGCTTTCAAATATCATTCCTTTATTCTGATTAGGGTTTTTACCTAAGGGGGAAATAAAAAAAAAGAGTTGCCTTAGGGGAAACAAATCAACTGGGGAAGTTTCATGGTGGTTTTAGTTTAAAATCCTACCGTATTAACCTTGGGGGATTCACTGGTAGAAACACTCCAGGGTTCAGAATACATACTAGCATAAATAAAGAGTAGAAGTTTTTCAATGTGACAAAAGATAGAAGTACCTTGTTGCGTCGTCCCCGTCCTTTCCCGCCTCCTCATAATCCTCAGAGGCAGCCATCTGCTCTCCCTCTTCTTCTTCTTCTTCTGATCCTTCGCCACGTTTATGGTACTTCTTCTTATGGTGGTATCTATGTGTCGGTTTCCATATACGCTTTTCTATTCCTTCCTCTTCTGTTCCCTGTCTTTTGTCTAAGCCCCAGGACTCTTGGCTGCGTTCCCCATCAGAGAGCTCCTCTTCACGTTTGGGTCTCTTCTGATGGAACCTGCCGGCCCTCCACTCTCTCTTGTCTCTTCCAGTGTCAAAGTCCCAGTACTCCTGGCTGCGCTCTTCCTCAGGCTCTTCTCGCGCTTCTACTGGTTGTACCTTCCTGGTTGTACCTTCCTGGTTGTACCTTCCTAGCCACCTGTGGTTGTACCTTCCTGGCCTCCAGCCCCTCTTATCAAGACCCCAGGATTCCTGGCTGCGCTCTTCATCGGGCTCTTCCCTGGCTTCTTCTGCGAGTTCTTCATCACGTCTGTGTCGTGTCTGGTGGTACCTTCCAGGTCTCCAGCCCCTCTTATCAAGACCCCATGATTCCTGGCTGCGCTCGCCACCTTCTTCCTCCTCTTCACCACGTTTGTGGAGCTTTTTCTTGTGGTGATAACGATGTGTTGGCTTCCATATGCGCTTTGATATCTCCTGCTCGTCCTCGCCCCCGTTCCTTTTGTCTACATCCCAGGACTCTTGGCTACGCTCTTCCTCTGGCTCCTCCCCCTCTACTTCTTCTTGGTCTCGTTTGTGTTTCTTTTGGTGGTATCTCCCAGGCCTCCAGCCGCTCCTCTTCTCCCGCTGTTCTTCCTCTTCGTTCTCGTGTCTCTTCTCCTTCTCGTCACCAAGACTCCAGGATTCCTGGCTGCTTTCGTATTCTGGGATTTCTCTTTTTTCCTCAACGGTTTTCAAGAAAGCTTCGATGTCTTTCACATCGGTTCCCTTCGCCTGAGGCTCCTCGGGTTGACCTATGGCCAGCTCTCCATGAGTTACTATCCCGTCTCCACTTTTCTTGTCCAGTGGGGCATGTTTAACCCCTAAGACAGAAAAGAAGATGCATTTAAAGGTGTGTAAAGATTCTTTAAGTATAAGCTTTAGGTTGAATCTCGTCTTGTGATAGAGGATTTCATCAATTACTTTGTAGTTATTTTGGTTTGCATTTAAATCATTTGAAGATCTCCCGAGTGTTTTATGTTGTCTCTTTTCTTTTCTTTGCCTTAAAGCAATGCTTTTAATTTCTGTTACAAGTTGGTTAAAAATACATACTTTTTTCAAATCTACCAGTTATTCAAAGTCTCAATCAACTGACAGTTAAAAGAGCGCTGCATCAACAAAGGTATTTAATGATTAAATATGCTCCTGCTACAAACCTGCTTGGAGAATGTCTTTGCATTCCTGGTCCAGCCTGGAGTCCGGTTTGGTGAGAGCTTTGGAGAGGACTTCAACCAAACAGCGTGTGACCTGCAATAAAACAACAACTAGTAAATAGGAAGCTCTTCAATGCCTTCTTGTCTGATTAGCTGCTGTTTTGAACTTAGTCAAATTGCCTTTGAAAAAGAACATACCACATCTTCTCTCTGCCCTTCTTTTCCCACTGGAAGCGCTAGATTTTCTGCATTAGAAAAATGTTAGAATTAGTCAGGATCACATGCACTGAAGTAAAGGAAAAATATGTGTCTCTGTCCATGGTCCTGAACTGCGCACACTTACTCAAAGCACTGAAGAAGAAAATAATGACCTACCTGTCAACAAAGCCGCAACCAAGACAGCAACATAAATAAGTCTCATTTTGGCGAGATGATGGTATATCCAAGAAAATGTGTGAAGAAGCAGCAACTCCCGACGCTCTGAAGCTTCAGGAGAGAGCTGTGCTGACTGTGCGCCAGCTGCTCTGAAGACTGGAGCTGAGGAGAGCCTCTAATAAAGAGAAGAGTGGGCTGCAGGAGCGTCGGAGGAGGGCTTTGGGGTCTGTTAATGTCAGGACTCATTAAACCTGCATGGAGACTGATTGGAGGGAAATTTGATGCAAGCACAATGTCGACATTTTGCACTAAGTGAATTAGTGTCACAGTTCATTCAGGAGGTGATCATTTAACCACATTTAAAGAGCATTGGAAGAAATTTCATTTGAGCGTGTTTGTTTTGAATGTCGTGAGGTGCCTGAGGACAGGTACAGGGGGGTGGACACGGCATCACCAGGATTCGTGCCCTGGAACAATACTTTGTAAATAAGTGTTGTTTATTAAGTTGGAGAGAAGTTCAGCTCAGCCTACACTGTGTTGATGCTGCTGGTGTTCTTATTCTGCCACTGAATGTTGAATACAGTTATGTTTATGGCAGTTATACAATATTGGATTCCAGATATATTCAATATATTGTGCCGTGAGGTCTATCACAAATCTTCTTTTCATTCTCTTTTTTATGAGGCTTTCCAAAGTCTCTAGCTGAAGTTATGTAATACCTCTGTATTATCAACTGTTAACACCCTACATTTCATGCCTGTTTAAATGTTTGATAGGAGGCTAATGTACTCTACATTTAAAGAAAAAAGTAAAGTAGACATGTACGGACAAACACAGTCTGTCAAACCTTGAGTCCGATTTTAGCCAAACTGACTGATGAATTATTCAATTATTTGTATTCATTCAGCCTTCTGTATATCCTGTCCAGTTTTCCGTGGGAACATGTAACTCATTTGTGTTCCAAAATGTTACAGTGTTTCAATCTGTGACTGCTGTCGTCTTCCTATCGTTCTCTGGATTAGGGTGAGCTGACATGTGCAGCGGCACAGCTCAAATTTAGTATGCTCAGCGCGGCTCGGAACATTAAAACTGACAACTGTTGGCATCCTCTTTTGGCACTTTGCACGTTTTTGTCTTGCTTGCTTGTAGTGCAATGTGTTCTTCTTCAGTGCATGTATTCCTTCACTCAGACACAAAAAGGGACTTTGGGGAATAGGGTACGAAATCCAAATGACTTAGTCTCACCTATATAGAGGCTTAAAGATGCATTATACAACTGTTTACATGCCATGTTTATACAACAAGCACCGACCTTTATGTAAGGCCAAGTACATTCAAGTTCAATCATGTCTTGGAAACCATGAGCCCAGAAAGTGTACAACAGCTGCGAGCAAAATGAGAATATCGTGCTCCATAAATCTGCTCTCTCGCCTCTCGTGCCTTCATGGCCGCTCACAGAAATCCATCTGAGTGAATGCAGACAGGCTCTATTATGGAAACTGAAATAATTACTGGTCAGAGCAGCAGGGTAGATACATCCAAGGAAAACGCTGCTAATCCAAAGCAGCCAAGGAACTCAATGTTTTGTGTGAATGATAGATTTTCGATTTGACATGTTTTGCATAGAGGGCATTAGCAAGGGGATACAGTTGACTGTGCTGTCCCCAGGGAGGAAGTTGTGTATGTGACCGGGGCTTAGCGATGCAAAGTGAGCAATACAGCCAGTAGATATCAAAAGCACTCGTGCACTAAATTATACAAGCCCAATCCTCTGAACAGTGTGTGTGTCCGAGAATGCGCTCACATTTTAGTGAGGCATGAAGATATAGGACCTTACAGGCAGCGAGGTGAGGGGGGTGCTTTGAGAGGGAACGCTCGATGCGTTCAGACAAAAACACCTACCCTTTCATAACAACAATTTACAAGCAAGAACTAAAGGTCAGTGGCTCATGATGAGCAAAATGCCATGCGTCGACTGAAAGCCTCGACCGGGTTCTGATCTTTGGTGGGGACAAGCTTTATGTTTGGCTCAAAACTACTGAGGGAATTTGATGGTAGATATTCCAAGAAAAACAGAAGAGAGTGAGGTTATTTGTGATCAAATGCTCTTACTTCTGGTTAAATTATAATGTCTGGCATTATGTTGAACATAGGGGCAATTTTCACTTTCTTGTGATTAGTCTTTCAGCACAATCTAATGTAAGATCTAAAGAAAGTTCTAATTTATTAGCAAACATTCATCCATCCCCAACTTGAATTATCATGCTTGAATAGTTAGCTGAAATAAAAGTCAGGACAATTATAAAAAATGTGCCTTTGAACCCAAACTTTAATGGACCAAAAGCATCTGTTGGATGATTGATACACACTGCAGTATCAGTACCATTCACTGTAGGGGGAAGTAGTGCTGGACATTTGAGGAGGATAGGCAGCAAAGAATGGAACTGTGGTTCCAAAGGACCCATACAGGTGTCATTACAAAGGTGCTTGCTGGTTTATACATTCAGCAAACAGGATGATGGAGCGCTCGTTCTCCAAACTGTTACATTATTAGCATCACTATTGTAGCAGAAGGACTCTTTCGAAAGGCTCAAGGACTCAATTGGACCCAAAAGGCCTGCATAGAATAGAAATGGCCCAAAAAGGCGATTATGCCCTGATTGTCTATGCAATACAGGATTTAAATGATCCTCATTACCAGACAATCAGGCTGAGTAAAATGTGTAATTCTTAATTATAAAATCTCCCATTCAATCGTTAAGCTCGTTCTGTTTCTGTTGAAAATTAGAATAGGATCCAAATCCATAATTTAATTTGATAGGGAAACTGGAAATGAACTGTGGAAAATAAAACTGAAATTAAAGTCCAAAAAACGACCCTCTCTAAATTTCTGCCATCACCCATTGGAGTGTTTTTTTTTTTGTATTTCATAATGCAGACAATGTTCTAGTAAAACTATTTTCTTTCAGTAATATTAGTAAAGTTAAAGATCTTAATGAGGTCTTTTGGGACAAAATGATGATGAGTACCTTCAAGGAATGATCAATTATGAATGAGGCAAAGCATGCCAGTCTTTATGAATATTTTGAAAATACTAAAATATTATTGTTGTTGAAATAATAATCACTATTAAGCCAGTTAGTTTATTGGGTGACTGTGTGTGGTCAGCTACTTGTCATTGTTGTTAACTGTTGTCTAAAGGGATTTGGCTAAAGTGCAATAAAGGAGGATATGGAGGGGAGTTTTTCGGTGCAGTATAATGTTTTTGCTTTTAGTTGTAACGGTGATGTTTTTCATATGATAACATGCTCATATTTTGCCACATACCTATTAGCCCCACCCCTGTAATACCAGTGTTACTCACTGTACTGCAGGACCAGCTCATTTCATTAATGCAGATAGCTGTTCACTGAAATATGCTAATGATTTAACAGTGTCATGGATGATGAGTCAACACTGCTCAGCACAGTGAACACAGTTGGCTCATATCTCAGCCTTAAGAATAAACATCCCCTGAACACAACAAAAGATTGACCACTACAAAACTGAAGGTGTTCACAAACCTTTAGCTCAGAACCTCTTCAATTCAGTGAATACAAATTGCAAAATATGCTTTCCTGTCCTCAGTTTTCATCACAATTATTGATTTTGATATGTGCAGGCAAACTAGCCCTATCACACAACTCAGTCCGCTGGGCACAATGCGCAATTGTGAAGAGGAGATCAATACAAACTTTCCAGAGGAGACATCAAACGGTTTATTAGAATGTGAGTTGGGCTGAGGTTGGATTCTTAAGGCATAATCATCATTTTCTATTGAACTCTAGTTGGATTGTATGTCTTTGCACAAAGATCCACAAACCACAAAACCAAGCATGTAACACCTTTAGTGTCTGATCCGGTTTACAACGCCTTTTTTAAAGGTTCCCTATTGTACTGTTTTTCATTTCTTTATTATAGGTCTCAGATATATAAAAAACATGTCTCTGAAGTGTTTGGCTGCAAACACCAAACAGATCATTGTAGCATCCCAAAATCCCCTCTGTTTCAGCCCTGTTTCAAAAGTGCTGATTCTCTGTCTGTTACTTTAGATGAAAATAAGGAGCCCCTCCCCACGCCCCTCTGAGAGATATTTGGTTAAAAATAACACAATGGTGCTCTAGGAGGAGATGCAGGTGATAAGGTGGGCGGGTGTTACCTTGGTTGGTTATTGGCTAATACACAAACCAAAAAATCGTTATGACATCATAAAGTGGCCAAAATCTGATCAGCTCATTTTCAGACAGGTTTTTATATAAATGGATCAGGAAAAGAAGTGAGCGAATCTTTGTTCCTGAAACTTTCAAAAACTTTTACCACAGAGGGGACACATGTTTATGTATACAAGACAGAAAGTGGATTATGCATACTAGGTGACCTTTAATAAAAATGGCATAGTGGTAGAAGAAAACAGGACATGAGTGCAAGATTTGAGTAATTCAACTATTCTTGGAACAACATACGCTTTCAGAATATCCCAGTGTGTGAGCCCAATTTAACCAATTATTAATAAGACAAAATTAAAGGCAGTGTTACAAAGAACACCATGAACAAGTTATTTCCTCTCGCGCAGGAACAGAACGTACCTGGTAGTTTGCCGTTGGCTGTAGTCTCCGCAGTGCTTTTAAGTGCAGTAGGCCAAGATATCGTGAAATGAGGCAATGCAACAGCCCCGTCAGCGCTAGTCCATAAATGTCTCTTTGGTCTGCCTTGTCCTTCAACTGTACATGGCTGTTTTTACAGGGAAAAAGTTGTTTATATACTTGAATACAATATTGAAAAAAAATCCATCCAATTAAATATTGGTGGGAAAAAATGTTACTGTATCTCGGCCAAGGACACTGTGTTTTCAGTCGTGTTTGTCTCTTTGTTTGTTGCCTTGAAACTTTTCAAAACGTGTTAAAAGATTCCAATTCAACAGCATCGCCACTTGGCTAAGACAACTTATTAGTTTTCTCTCCTTTTTTTAACACTTAGCATTGAGAGAAATTTCTGCTTGATTTTATCACAAATATGTTCAGTTATAAACTATAACCCATGCATTCAATAACTGGCATTTCACCTATTGTTCAGATTTATAATTTCTTAAAAAGTTAC